AAGGCTAGCGCTCTACCACTTGAGCCACAGCACCACTTCTGGCTTTTTTCTTTTTGCTTATGTGGTGCTGAGGAATCGAACCCAGGGCCTCATGCATACTGTGTCCGGTTTTCAACTCTTGGTTAAGTGAGTTGCTAAATATTTTAGTCCTTTCGATGCCATTGTAAATTGGTTTTATTATTTTCCTCTTCTGATATTTCATTGTTAAGGTATTAAAAAAATCTGCTGACTTGTGTGTGTCTGTGTATTGACCTTGATCTTGCCACTTTGCTGAATTTAATGATTTGTTGTAACAATTCTTTGGAATCTTTAGGATTTTCTACATATAATAGTAGATCATCTGTGAACAGAGATAATTTTGTACTTCCTTTCCAGTTTAATCGACTTTTTAAGGAGTTTTTTTTTTTTTTATTTTGCTTAGTGGCTCTGACTCAAGCCTGTAGCTCTATGCTGAATAAAAATGGCAAAATCAAGCCTCTTTGCCTTATTCTGGGTCTGAGAGGAAAAGCTTTCACTGTGGAGTGTGACTGACATTTGTTGTGGGTTTTCTGTATATGGTTTTGTTATTTTACAGTTTCTTTCTATTTCTAGTTTGTCAACTTTTTTAAAATCACAGAATACTATTGATTTTTTTCCACATCCTTTTTCTGCATTAATGGACATGATTGTGTGGGTTTCCCCACCCTTTATTCATTCAATCTCTGCCAAACCACGCTGGCTTCCCCAGATTAAACCCCAGAGCTTGTGGTGGGATCCTTTATAATATGCCCTATGTGGGATCTTTTAAGTATGTTGTGAATTTAGTTGGCTGTTTTTTACATCCTTTTCTTATGCTGTTTTCCTGTCAGGGTATCATTCTATTGTTGTGTTGTTATTTTTATTATTATTACCATCAGCTCTTTTTCTTTGTTTTTCTGCATGAGTATGCTGAGAAAGAGTCTAGTAAAGGAGTTTATCTCCTTTATTTTCTTTATGTGTTGTTACTTTGTGTGTGTGTGTGTGTGTGTGTGTGTGTGTGTGTGTGTGTGTGTGTGTGATCATCCTGAGGCTTGAACTCAGGGCCTAGGCACTATCTCTCAGCTTCTTTTGCTCAAGGTTATAGCACTCTACAACTTGAGCCACAGTTCACTTCTGGCTTTTTTTGGTAGTTTATTGGAGATGAGAGTCTCACAGACTTTCCTGCCACAGCTGGCCTTGAACCATGTTTCTCAGATCTCAGCCTCTTAAGTTGTAGGTATGAGCCACTGGTGCTTAGCTGATTTTTTTTTCTTTAATTGAGTCTTCTTCCTTGGTCTTGCCCCCAAATCCTATAGGCATACTTTTCCTTAAAAGTAGAACCTGGTGTGGTGTGTGTGTGTTCTTTCTAGGCTTCTTGGATCTTTAAGCACAAATTGCAATGTCAACTATATTCCATAATAATGGTTGGATACTTGAGCTGCTCCAGGTCCTATTTTTATACTGGGCACACAGAAATGCAAAAGATCTATGAAGTCAGAAAGGAAAAACAGAGCTGTGATAGACAAGACCAGTGGGCTGGGGTTTGTGCAGATCAAAGAAGCATGCGTGAGTTCAGGAAGTCAGGAGGCATGACCAAGAACAGGTAGGAACAGGTAGCATCTATTGTGCAGGTGTTGATCCAACAGTGGGAGCCCATCAGATGGCCACCAGGGGTGAAACAGAGATAGCATTACTGCTTCCCCAGCACAGAGCAGGTAGCTTGACTTGCTCAAGGACATACCCTCAGGGAGCTCAGGGAGGTTGCACTAACAGTCAGAGGACAGGATGGTGGCCCATGCTACTCCTCCAGTGAGAGCCAAGTTGGCCAGGAGCATCAGGTAACCATCGCCCAAGCCATGGTGCCCACAGGCACAGTGGCTCCCCCTGCTGGGCTGAAGCAGAATCGTCCAACACATGGGTTTTATATCCGTTTCCCCAAGCCCATTCCAAGGACTGCATTGCAGCAGGTCCGAGTGAAGCCCAAAAAACTTGCATTGCATTTCCGTGGTCCCCTAGACATTCCTGCTATTGGCACTCAACAGCTCAAAGGGTGAGCTCTGATGGAGATTCCCAATGCTCTGATCTAGTCCTGTCCTAGCCTGGCCAGTCTTTTATTTGTTTACATTCGTTTTTATCATTATTATTAAGGTGTTGTACAGAGGGGCTACCAGTTCATAAGCCAGGTAGTAATTACATTTCTTTCTTTTTCTTTTTTTGGATAATGTCACCCTTCCTTCACTTGCCCTCAGTTTCCGGCTTCCATCCCTATCCATAAGTTGCATAGTTCATTTTTCCATAAAGTGTCTCCTGAATACCATGATTGCATTTGCTTAATCTTCTGGCCTCCCTTTCTGTACCTCTCTTTGACCCTCACTAAAAAGACAAAAAATAAAAACAACCCAAAGCAAAATTAAGCAGTAGCAGCAGCAGCACCACCACCACCACCATCATCAACAACAAAAACCCATGTTTCCATTTCTTAGGATTTGTTTTGATAAATAGTATTTTCTTTTTCTTTTTCCTTTCTCTTTCTTTCTTTCTTTCTTTCTTTCTTTCTTTCTTTCTTTCTTTCTTTCTTTCTTTCTTTCTTTCTCTCTCTCTCTCTCTCTTTCTTTCTTTCTTTCTTTCTTTCTTTCTTTCTTTCTTTCTCTCTCTCTCTTTCTTTCTTTCTTTGTACTTGAACTTATGGCCTGGGTGCTATCCCTGAGCTTCTTTTGCTCAAGGCTAGTGCTCTACCACTTAAAGCCATAGCACTACTTCTAGCTTTTTGGGAGTAGTTTATTGGAGAAAAGAGTCTCATGGACTTTTCTGCCCGGGCTGGCTTTGACCCACAATCCTCAAATCTCAGCCTCTTGAGTAGCTAGGATTATAGGCATGAGCCACTGGTGCCTAGCAATTAATAGCATTTTAAATGGTCAGAGTCATTAGGCTGTTAGGTTCCTCCTCTAGGGATATACTCCTTTAGTCTGACTGCTTATGTGTGAATCTGACTAGACTTTTGCATAGGGACTTGGAAGATGTGTTTGCATGTGGTCAAAGATGGATATAGAACAGGAATTGAAAAGAGCTGACCCATAAGAGGTCTGGGTTCAAGTCCTGACCCTGCCATATGCAAACTGTGTGTACATAGGAGTGAGCCCATGTGTGCCTTTGTTCCTCTTAATGTGCGAGGAAGCTCACAGCGCCTCCTACCCGCATCCCGGGTCTGTGGTGAAGATTAAATAATGTGTTGGGTGTCAGAGAATTAGAGCAGACTTAACTCCGAGCAGGTGAGTGCTGCTGCTGCTTCTGATAATACTTTTTCTTTAAAATTATATTTTTTAATTGTCTTTAAGTGGTTGTACAGAGGAGTTTACCTCTCAACAAATCAGATGATGAATACAATGCCCCTTGATTGACGTCACTCCTTTCATCTTCCGGGTTCCCTCGTAACCCCTCCCCTCCCTTCCCCCTCTCTCCCCTTTTCTCCCCTTCCCACCCTCCCCTCAGTTTTCTTAATTTGGTAGGATGTGCTTTGAATATCATGACTGCATTCTCCTTTCTCTCTTCATGTGTCCACCCCTCTCCTCAGTGGGGAACTCTGACCTCTTTCCCTAAGTGTCCACCTACTGCCAGAGCAGGAAGTGGAGCGGTCATCTGAGATCACTCCCTTGGGACTCTGGGTCCCTTCAGCGAAGCCACTGTGCTAATGGACTATGCAGTGAGCAAGAGAGGACATCGCCTTGCTGGCGCGCTCCGCAGAGGGTGGCCATGGCTGCTGGGGTGTGCACGGGGGTTGTGGGTGAGAGAGGTCAGCCAGACCAACTGTAGCAACCTCTTCCCGGGCCTTCATCCTGACCCTGTCTCCGCAGTGGGGCTGACTTGCTGGCTGTCAATTCCGACGGGAATATGCCCTATGACCTCTGTGAGGATGAGACCACCCTGGATGTCATCGAGACCTGCATGGCCTACCAAGGTAAGGAGGGCAGAAGGTTCTGTAGTAGGCACATGGCAGCGTCGGTGAGTGAACACATTTGCCCGCTACGTGCCCCCGGCTCCCCCACGCCCAGTCCTCAGTAAATGGAACGGGTCCTCATCATGAGTGCTATGTGTGCTATCAACGAGATAAAACACATGACAGGACCCTGGAAAACGTGCCGTGCAAAAGGAAGGTATTGTTCTTCTCCCCTCCCCCCCGCCCACACACGTGGGCACATGCGGGCGGCCTCAGCTGGCCTTGTCTCCTCATTGTCAGCTGTGACAATTCAATTCAATAAACATTCACCATAAAACCCTGTCCCCATTTGGGAAAATAATGTTTAAAAAGAAAAAACAAGAACATTTGTGAGTGCTGATTTGTGCTAGGCACCAAGCTGGCTGTCAGGGGCCCAGATAAACAAGGTGTGGGCTGTTCTGCGCTCACAGTGAATTCTCAGAAGAGGAAACATGGGGAGCGATGGGAGATGTGGGTACTGCCTGCCCCAGCACCCAGTATGCCTGGCAGGGGGAGACCACCCCTAGATTAAAGGGGACTCCAATCCAGACCTTCAGCTGCAACTCAAGCTCCTGCCCCAGCCTTGCCTTGAGCTGCTTCTCAGTTCTCTGGAGTCCCATTTGGTCCGGGTACCTAAGGCTTTTGTTATCCATCTCCTGCAGAGATTCTTAACAATTTTCATGGCAGCCTTAGGAATCTATGGACTTTGGATCATGTTCGGCAAATTGCATCCCAACATAGCTAGGTAGCAAAGTATTTTAACATGTATGAGATAGGGAACATGACTAATTCATTCAATGATAAGGTAACCAAATGGGGAAATACCTGGACTTTCTGTTGGTGATAAACTCATAGGCATGGCTAATAGTACTGAGGATTTTATTTAAATTTGAATGGTAGGAAATACTAAATTTCATTTAAGGGCTAGTCAAAATGTATCATTTTCTTTTTTTCCTTTTTAATATATTTTATGGTAAAAATACTGTACAGAGGGGTTACAGTTATATGAGTAAGGTAATGAGTACCTTTCCTATTGAACATTGTTACCTCCTCCTTCGTTTTTCCCCTACCATCCCTGCCCTTCCCACCTCCCCAACTCCTCTCCCCTCCCCAAAGTTGTAAAATTCCTTTTCAACATACTGTCTTGTGCATTTCATTGTTACACCATTGTAACAATGTATCCTTATTTAAGCATTTTGTTATTTCCCTTCCCCTCCCCAAATTATAAAAATGTATATACCAGATGCAGGGCACGGGAATCAAATACAGTGAAAAGCAGGGGTTATACCATGATATATACCATATACAAAAGGAACAAAAATATCACATAGTACATTATAAATACATTAAAAACAATAGCAAGCAAGAAAAAAACCACTTGTGTCCTTGTCTTGGAGTTCGTTGTGCTTAACATCATCTTATATGGTCATATGTACATAGCTTTTTACCTTTTCTGCTTGTCCTAGACATATACTAGTTATTGCAAATAAGAGAAACCATGGGACTTATGTTTCTTTAGGCCTGGCTTACTTCACTTACATAATTTTTTTCCAAGTCTTTCCATTTTCTAACAAATGGGGTGATGTCATTCTTTCAGATGGAGGCATAGAATTCCATTTCATATATGTGTATATCACATTTTCTTGATCCTGTTTTTCGTTTTAAATGTATAGACTTCCCCTGAATTCTCTCCAAGGGCACTTGCTGTAATGTTTCCTTTCACAGAGTGTGTTACTCTCCTCTTAAACATCATTAGTAGCTAGGGATTGGTAGCAAATGCTTGTAATCTTAGCTTTTCAGGAGACCAATATCTGAAGATTGCAGCTCAAAGACAATTTGGGCAGACTCTTTTTGCAAGGGACTCTTATCTATAATTAACGAGTAAAAAAGTTGGGCTGGATGCCTGGAGCAAGTGGTAAAGTGCCAGCCATGAGCTTAAAAGCCAAGCAAGAGTGTAAGGCCTTGAGTTCAAGTCCTGATACCGGTGGGTGTGTGTACCCATACCCACACCCACACCCACACCCACACCTCCCCCCCCCATAATACCATTACTAGCTGCCCATAAAAGTTTCACTTTTCAGTCAGGAATTCAGGCTATGAGATGTCCCTTTGGGCCCCTTCCGTCCAGCTACTCAACTCTCTACCTGAAAGGAATAGCACCCTTAATTCAGTCATTTCTGCAACACAAATGTAATGCATGTTGTGATCCTAGTCATGGATAAGACAGAGGAAAGTGAGGGAGATGTGGGTCAGACAGAGTGGCTAGCAAAGCCTGCGGGTGGGGGGACCTGCATGAACATGAGCAGAACGGTATTGGCACAGCTGGAGCTGGGCGGGCAGATGGTCAGAGGTCCTCCAGGTAGATGAATATTGAGGGGCTTATGTCAGTACACTGGTATTGGATGACCTTTGTGCTGTGGGTCAACACGGTGGGCCTGGAGAAAATTATTTATGGGAGTGTCTGTGTGCCCTGTGCCTGGCAGACCCTCGGGGAGCAGGAGCAGTGTGACTGTCCCTCTCTTCCTTGTGACTTGGGCCTGAGGATATTGAGTGCACCCTCTCTTTTTCCCAATGCAGGCATCACCCAAGATAAAATCAACGAGATGAGAGCAGCACCCGAGCAACAGATGATTTCAGACATCCACTGTATGATTGCGGCCGGCCAGGATCTTGACTGGATAGATGCCCAGGGTGCCACATTGGTGAGCAGCTGGGGCCAGTGCCAGGGCTAAGACTCCCTAGGGTCAACTTGAACTAGGGGCCAAACCTTTCCACTTGGGCTTGTTATGACACAGCCTCCTCCAGATCCTTGGTGCCCCTCCAGGGTTGCCCTTGGAATATGGAAGTGATCAGGCTCCTAGATAGGAGCCTCAGCCCAGGCTGACCCAGTCTCTCAGGTGTGCACCACCATGCCCAGCGAGGAAGGCATGCCAAAGGATTTGGAGACATAGTTTTTATACCATCTTCGTGGAACCCCTGGGACAACATGAGAAGAGAATCCATCTCTGCCTTCCTTTTTTTTTTTTTTGGTCAGTTATGGGGCTTGAACTTTGGGCCTGGGCGCTGTCCCTCAGCTCTTCAGCTCAGGGCTAGCACTCTACCACTTGAGCCATAGCACCACTTCCGGTTTTCTGGTGGTTTATTGGCGATAAGAGTCTCACAGACTTTCCTGCCTGGGCTGGCTTTGAACAGTGATCCTCAGATCTCAGCCTCCTGAGTAGCTAGGATTACAGGCATGAGATACTTGTGCCCAGCAAAACATTACCTTTTTTGTTTGTTTGTTTATTTGTTTGCTGGTCCTGGGGCTTTAACTTGGGGCCTTGTCTCTGTCCCTGAGCCTCTCTATGCTCAAGGCTAGTGCTCCACCACTTGAGCCACAGCACCACTTCTAGCCTTTTCTGTTTATGTGGTACTGAGGAATCAAAGCCAGGGCTTCATGCATGCTAGCAAGCACTCTACCACTAAGCCACATTCCCAGCCCCCTCTGCCTTCCCTTCAAGGTCCACATTTCAGAGTTAATAACCCTTTATACTACGGCTGGTGTTTCCACCTCACTTCATTTCATTCTCCTGGTCCCAAGAACAGTCTAGGACTTGAAAGTGGGAGAATATCCTGTAACTATTGGGACCAGCCGCCTAGGGAAGGTTCACTTTTTCTTGTCTCTCCTAGCTGCACATAGCAGGAGCCAATGGATACCTGCGGGCAGCAGAACTCCTCCTGGACCACGGAGTGCGTGTGGATGTGAAGGACTGGGACGGATGGGAGCCTTTGCATGCAGCAGCCTTCTGGGGACAGGTATGTCCCACCCACAGGGTCGCACAGGGTCCACCTGTGTCATTTGGACTGGCAGTTAGCTCAAAGTCTGTTCAGGGTGTTGACTCCAGCAAGTACATGGGGGTATGAAAAGGCTCAAGGAGTCTGTTTGCTAAAACATTTGGCTAGTTGTGTTCTAACAGGATGATGATTACATTTTCCAAATTATAGCTGAGCATTGGTGACTCATACCTGTAATCCTAGCTACTCAGGAGGCTGAGATCTGAGGATGACAGTTTGAAACCAACCCTGGTAGGAAAGTCCATGAGACTCTTATCTCCAATTAGCCACCAGAAAGAAAACTGGAAGTGGATCTGTGGTAGAGTGCTAGCCTTGAGCAAAAGAAGCTCAGGGATAGCACCCAGGCCCTGAGTTCAAGACTCATGACTGACAACAACAACAAAAAATTGCCAACTTAGAAAATTCCTAGCATTTCTTCATTTGTTTCCCAGATATGATTATAGCTTCTGTAATCTCTCCTTAAAATATCTGCAGCGGTAGAGTTACAGCTGACTTCTCCTTCTCTTCCTGGGAGTAGAACGTAGCCATGCCGGGGCAGGTGCCAAGCCCATGTGTCTGCCGGTCCCCCACAGCTCCAGGGTGCAGCGCTTTCCGTGGGAATCAGCTGAGTTCCATATCCTTGAGAGTTCTTGGGCTCTCTTCACTTCCTAGGCTCTCTGAGCCTTGGGCAGGGATCATGGGCTTCTTCTTCTTGTGTTTCAGATGCAGATGGCAGAGCTGTTGGTATCCCATGGAGCTAGTCTGAGTGCCAGGACCTCCATGGATGAGATGCCAATTGGTAAGCCCAACGCGATACTTGGTACACACATCCGTAACTCATCAATTTTCTGATGAGTGGATGGGTTTGTGTGTGAATATAAGGTTGTAGAGTGATGGGTTGTGGATAGGTAAATAGAAGAATGAGTTAATTAATGGGTGATAGATCCCTAGATTGGTGGATGGGTGGGATTGATGGGGAGATGTGATGATGGATGGATGGATGGATGGATGGATGGATGGATGAATTGTTTTTAGGCAGAGAACAAGTCTATGGATAGAATGACCAAGCCTACAAACAGGGGGAGAGGTATATAAAAGGATTAGAGAGATCAGTGGAGGGTTTTCTCAACTTCTCCTCATTTCTTGTTGAGGTACCTACATGTTTTCCTCAGTGCTTCTCATGTCTTTGGTGACTTGATGGCTGTCCCTGCAATGTTCCCTTGGTCCTAGTTGGGAACCTCTGGAATTGAACCCACTCCTAGGATATCTGGTGTTGCCCATTCTCACATTCCTCTAAGGATGTGGTTACAACCCAGGAAATATGACTAGTCTTGTTTTCTTCCCTGCCTGTGTATCCCCAGAGAAATGTTTGGAGCTTTTTAGTGGGATGAGGTGGCATAATGGCTCCTCTGGTTCCAAGCATCATTGTGGATCTCAGGTCCTGCCCTATCCAATCCTCTCTCCCCGCACTCCCCACAACTGACCCTTCTGCCCTTCTAGACCTGTGTGAAGAGGAGGAGTTCAAGGTCCTGCTGCTGGAGCTCAAGCACAAGCACGATGTGATCATGAAGTCCCAGCTGAGGCACAAGTCATCTCTGAGCCGCAGGACATCTAGCACAGGCAGCCGGGGGTGAGTCCTGAGGGAAGCCTGGGCACCCCTGCACGGACCTGCCTGTGACACATTGGGCGCAGCCTCCCAACATCCCCTCTGTCTCCTCAGGAAGGTAGTGCGTCGAGCCAGCCTGTCGGACAGGACCAACCTGTACAGGAAAGAGTATGAGGGAGAGGCCATCTTGTGGCAGCAGCGGAGTGCCTCGGAGGATCAGCGCACGGCCACCTACAACGGCGACATCAGGGAGACCAGGACAGACCAAGAGAATAAGGACCCGGTGAGTGACTCAAGTCCTGCCCCAAGCTCAGCCTCTGATGTAGAGCAAGTCAGGGCCAGCCTTGGCCTGGCCTCTTTATTGAAGACCCTTCGGAGGGAAGTTCGTAGCTAGACCGTGGCTTTAAACATCTGGATCCTGTTTGATGGTTGTGGCTGGTGTAGTTAATGAGAGGACTTGGGTCTTGTTACATTCAGCAGGGAAGTCGGGGAGGGGGGCTGGGCCTCATTCCTCCAGCAGATCCTGGCCCTAGACTTCCCCAAAGGAAGGCTCAAGTGGACAGTCACCCCAGAAGATAAGGATCCTAAAACTTTTTTTGAGATATACAACAAGATGTTGAGAATGATGTTGATCAAAAGTAAATCTCGGATGAATTTTTTTTGGAGAACCTGGGTAGGATGTTTGTAGTTCCCTAAGCAGACTGCCTGGCAGTAGCTGGTGGTTCTGGGGTTGGAAGGGCTTTTCTAATTAAGCATGCATGTTCTTTCCCTGTGGCTTCAAGCTGCATACACACACACACACACACACACACACACACACACACCATTGTTATGGAGGCTAGAAGTCTAATAATTAAGATGTCAACAAGATTGGTTCCTTCTGAGGGTCTCAAAGGAAATCTGTTCTAGGCCTCCCTTCCTGTTCCTAGTGGTTCAGGTTTCACTTTTGCTAGGTAAGCTCTCGGTCATTTGAGCTTTGAGCAATGCTCCTAGTCCTTTTGTTTGTATTTTGTCCCACTGATTTTGCAGGGATGAGCCTCAAACTAGTGGTCTCCCTGCCTCCATCTCCTAAGCAGCTATCCCTTGACTTTGAGAGTATGACCACTTCTGGACCTCTCTCTGTGTCTGGCTCACTCTCTCTCTCTCTCTCTCCCTCTCCTCCTTCCCTTTCTCCTTCCCTTCTTCCTTCTTTCCTTCCTTCCTTCTTTCTTTCCTGCTGATTCTGGGGCTTGAACTCAGGGCTGCTGCATTTGCAGCCTTCTAACTACCTGTAGTTCCGGAAGATTCTCTTCCTGGTTGTGCTAGTAAAAGTCTTGGGTTGAATTTCAGTGGATCCAGTGATAACTCACTCATGGACTAATCCATGTTATGAAATATGTTTATTAGCCAGGCCTGGGGGCTGTTTTCCAGACCTGGAGGAAGGATGGGGGAGTGGTCAGCTCTGCCAGACACACAGACTGGAGATGCTCCAGGTAGAGCCAAACACTGCAGATGCTCAGATGGGCAGTACAGATCCAGTCATCAGATGGTGTTGTCCTTCTCCTCCCCAGAACCCCAGGTTGGAGAAGCCCGTGCTACTCTCAGAATTTTCTACTAAGATCTCACGGGGTGAACTGGACGGGCCTGTTGAAAATGGCCTCCGGGCTCCAGTGAGTGCCTACCAGTATGCACTGTCCAATGGCGATGTCTGGAAGATGCATGAGGTACCTGACTACAGCATGGCCTACAGCAACCCAGGGGTGGTCGATGCTACTCCTCCCTGGAGTGGCTACAAGGAGCAGAGCCCCCAGACGCTTCTGGAGCTGAAACGGCAGCGGGCTGCAGCCAAGCTTCTCAGCCACCCCTTCCTGAGCACCCACCTGGGTAGCAGCATGGGCAGAGCAGGGGAGAGCAGCAACGAAGGCAAGGCTCCCTTGATCGGAGGCAGAACTTCACCCTACAGCAGCAATGGGACCTCAGTGTATTACACAGTCACCAGTGGAGATCCCCCACTCTTAAAGTTCAAGGCCCCCATGGAAGAGATGGAGGAGAAAGTCCACGGCTGCTGCCGCATCTCCTAGTCTCCCAGTGCTGGAGGAGAGAGATGCTCCGGGGAGGGGTCCCTGGAGTTCAGGCCTGCCCAACAGCCCTGGCTGGGGAGGCATCAGGGGGCAGGCCAGAAGAGGTGGGCTCTACTGAGTCCCACCCCTCATCCAGCTTCCTGCAGCATTCCCATTCCCCCTCCTTCCTGCTTCCTGCTGCATTGTCTGCCATCTGAAACATAGCAGCTTGATTCATTCTGCTGTCCAATTGGGGGAGGGTGGGCTTGGGCTCCAGTTCTGTTCTTGGTAAAGGCTTTTGGGGACCAGGACTCCCATGTGTCTCACACACTCACACATACACACACACACACACACACAGAGTCTGTCTACATGTGCAAGAACAACACATCTGAACTCTTTGGGAAGCAGGTGGGGCTGAGACTTGGTGGCCATTTCCCCGAAGGATCCAGGGAAGACTTAGGCTCAGTACTTCTGCTGATATGGGGAGGGTCTGCTGGGCTGAGTCCCACAGTCCTGCTCTGAGTCATGCTAGGGGCCAGCTAGGCTACTATCCACACCTGGCAGGGACAGAAAGTCCTCTCTTGTGTTTGGGAGAGCCACGAATCCACAGGGATTAGATGTGATGGACACAGGCCTCACTGAGTGCTGCTTTCCTGCTCCGAATGGCAAGAGCTATGTGACAGCCCAGGGTGGAAAACCAGGCCGTTCTACTCCTAAGGAAACCAGAGTGGGAGAATCAGGGGTGCATTTAATACAAACGTGTGTGTGTGTGTGTGTGTGTGTTGGTACTGGGCTTGAAATCGGCTTGGACACTGTCCCTGAGCTTTTTTTACTCAAGGCTAGTGCTCTACCACTTGAGCCACACCTCCACTTTTAGCTTTTTATGTGTGGGGTTAATTGGAGATAAAAGTCTCATAGACTTTCCTGGCTAGGCTGGAGATGAACCATGATCCTCAGACCTCAGCCTCCTGAGTAGCTAGGATTACAGGCATGAGCCACCAGCACCTAGCAAGCTTTGTTGAAGGCTGTGAAGCAACACATGGGAGGCAATGAGTTCTTCTCCCAAGAGGGTGTCACTAGGTTTTACTAGCTGGTGTTGGAAAGTGGAAGCTCAGTAGGGAACTTCCAGGAAAGCCTTTTATTCCCCCCAGGGAAAGTGAAGTCATCTCTTAAAGCCATCTCTGGTCAGCAATGACAATACCCAGAAGCACCTTGGTCATCTTTGAATATTCGGGCTATTTGGACCTAGTGTGTCTCAGCCAGCCCTGCTCAAACTGAGCCTTCATCATGAGTACATGGGAGCCTGCTACAGCCCTACCCTGCCAACCTTAGACATCAGTTCTGTGCGCAGAGTGAATGTTCAAGATCCTGGGCCCAGCCTTGCCTTTTCTGGATGCTTTGGCAAGACAGGTATGCCAGTAGGTCTTTGTAGTTTCTGCAGGCCTGGGGCTCCCAGCCTGCTTCTGCTGGACTGGTGATGCTGAAGCCTGCAAGTCTTAAGTGCTCAAGCCCAGTGTCTTGTACCTGCATTTAGGAGAATGTTGGGAGGCTGGAGTTGGATCTCAACCCTCTGTTTCCTGGCCCTAGTCTTCCAAAAGCAGGGGAAACAGGACTCCCAGCACCTCACCTTCTCTCATGACCCCTTTGAAATTGTTGTCTTTGCCTCATGCATGGACCAGAGGTCAGCCAAACTCCTTTGGCATAATTAACAAGGCACAGGTTTGTTCTCTGCTCGGTGTGTCTTTTCTTCATCTTAAAACTACCTCCTTAGAGCTCTGAAGGGCCTCTCACCCCAAGTCCAGATTATGACCTGAGGGAACAGATACGGGTGCCCTTTAACTGCTTCTGTCTGAGCCTGTGAAAATTTCTTCCTGAAAGGCACCTAGCCAAGGGGCTGGGGCTAGGGAAGTAATTCTGGGCCACAGCCCTCATAATAGAGTCTGCCATTTGTCAGTCTCTGTTTCCTACTGTGATTCCCATGGCTCCTGTTACCTGGAGAGGAAGCAGGATCTTCCAGGGCCTGGCCTGATGTTTTACTAGGAGCAGAGTTGTGAGCCAGGGAGTATCCTGGGGGACACCAGGCCACCTCTACCCCAATTCCAGGCTGGTTGTAGTCTAGGGTGGATGGTCACTTCTGGAAACTGAAGACTGGTGTAAATGATTCCTCCTGCATCCATGGGCCTTGAGGTGGGCTCTCATCATTTTAGCCTGTGGTTGAAGCAGAGGATGCTCCAGCACACACAGCCCCTGGGTCCCGACAGACACTGAGATCCTTCTGCAGCCAATTTAAGCCACGAGATAAGAGTGCTGAGGGCAGCCACATACTCCTCAGGAAACAGCTGATCTGTTTGCTCAGGAGCCAGAGAGGGAAGGCATTTATTGCCCACCTTGAACCATCCAGGACCTTCCCTCTCTCCCCTTCTTCCTGCCTTGTGGGTCATTCTTCTCCAGCCCAAAGGCTGGGAATCTCAGCCATAGGAGCCTTAGCCTTAGATTGGGAACTTGTAGGCTTTTTAGCATCTTGTGTTCTCTGTTAGGACTTCAAGTCCCCATTCAGGGAGCTTTCCCTACAAGTCTTCTGAGTGGTGAGGGATAAGTTGAGGCACACTCTCCCACAAACAGGCAAGGCTCTCTGCTTTGTTCACTCATGAGATTTACTGAGTGGCTGCCACAGACCAGGCACTATGCTAGGCTGTGTGGATAAAGGAGAAGCAAGACAGAGTGAGAATTGCTCCTGATGGTTTTCATTCCTTGGGAGCCACAGGCATCCTGCTGCAGCCCCAGCCAGTTCCCTTGAGTGACTACCTGCTGGTCCAGTCAGTGTCCCTGTGCTTCTAGCTCTGGAATCCTAGTGTGTGAATCTCTTTAGCTGTGAGACAGCTTCACAGTCCACCCCTGGTAATGTTTGCGACTAAGTATAGATGTTGGGTCTTTGGTCCCAGACAAATACAACCCCAGAATCTTCAGGGATAGCTGCCTTTGGGCCAGCATCCCTAGGAGGCAGTGTAAGGGCAGGCTGAGGTCAGTGTCTAGAAGAATAAGGAATCTGCAATTTGCTGCCAAATGCATCTCTGATCCTCAAAGTCATTGTCTCTTGCTCATTTTTGCTGTCACATAGTACTGTCACCCTGTCTGTGGATATGGGGTGGGGGTAGAGAATGGGAGTATAGCAGTTCTCTTTTAACATGGAAGTCTTTCCTCGAGAGTCAGCCTCTCTCCCTGGCAGGTGTGGATCAAAGGACTGAGAGAACTCTGGTGAGGTCAACCAGATGTCCCAACTCTTGCAGAGACCCAAGTGTGGTGGTCATTCCTGGCAATTCTCAAAGCAGGTATCCTGTGGCTCACTGTGAGCTTGCTCTGGACCTTGCTTCCCTTGTGCCCACAACAATTGGAAATTGGTGGCTGTCACCAGATTGTGTTTCTGGCCAGTAGCTCAGGGAATAAGAATGAGCCCTAAGCTCAGGTCTGCTGATGATTTCAGGATACAATTCTCCATCAAATAAGCAGCATTAGTAGAACTGCTCTGCACATTCAATCAATTACAGGAGGCTTGGAGAAGTTGATAAGGGTGTGGCTCGTATCCTGGCCCACCACTGTTGGCTGGTTTTATAATAACAAGAGATTCTTGGTTCTTACTGTCGTAGACACTGTTTAATCCTGATCTCTCTCCAACTTGCTGTCCCAGAGCAGGATACTGGGGAAATTTCCAGAAGGGCGCTCCTTGCCACATGCCCAGAAGGCCCATATATGACTTTGCTATTTGTAGCCTGGAGAATAGCCTCTCCTCGCCCAGGGCACAAAAAAGCAAAAGGTCATGCATGTGGTCAGTGGCCAGCTCCATTGAGGTGACCCTTTTGGCCAGAAGCCCTAGCCCTCTCCTCCACGGAAGTCTCTTGTTGGCCGGAGGGCCTGCTTCCCGTGGACACTGCAGGTGCCACCATGCGGGGCCTGGCTCTGCACACCCAGGAAAAGTCTGCAGACCCCCAGCCCTCCGCAATAATTCACCAGACCAGAAGCCACTGATGTACAGAGAACATTTAAGAAAAATGTATTTTATGTGAAAAACAAAAAAAGGTTAAAACTCTGTATACTGTATCAGCAGCTTTGTGTAAAAATGGCAATCCAGAGAGTCTAATATATTTAAAACTTTTTTTAAAAAAATCCTCATGGATCTTTGATATTGTATTGAAGTAACTTCCAGGTAGCTCCTTGCCATGTGGCTGTTCATGTCCCAGACTGGGTTTGATCACATCCCAAAGGATGCCACCTCATGGAGTTGCTTCCAGTCGACAAGGCCTGTGATGGAATTGCTGTTAAGAATTTTTAATTAAGGTTATTAAATTCCTTTTAATAACACTCACTAGTCTGATTGTGATTATTGCTATGAGTTCATGTGACCTGGGCTGACTTGAACTTGGGGAGAAGTGATACTGGTGCTGGGGATAGGTGATGCTTGACATCCTTACTCCCTCTCCCCTCCCTCCAGAAAGCTCTCTCAAGAGGCTCCAGAGGTGGAGGGGGATCTGGTGGCTCCTAGATAAAGCTGGTGTGTTTTTAGATTGGGAGAAAGTAGAAGCTGATGAATTCAAGGAAAGAAGAGAGGCAGTTGGGAATTTATATCCTATCAAATATTCCTTTTGAAATGACATGAAATCCTGTGATAGCATAGATCTTAATCCCTAGGTTTAAATTTTTTTCCTGACTATAATATGCATACTAATTCATACACACACACACACACACACACACACACACACACACGTGTAGAAGGTTGGCCAGAGAAGCTAGTGCCCAGGAAGAAAAGTGGCTGTTGAACAGGCATGGCCACAGATCATCCATGCAAACAGAAGGTTTGCTTGCAGGTATGGTTGCCAGTGTGCAAGTGGAAAACAGAGTTCAAATAGAATTTTGAGTTTTGCTAATTAAAAAAAACGTAGCAGTGAGAGAGGAGAAATAGAAAGGTGTACTCACTGTGTACCCAGTATATATGTATACATAGGTATATATAGTTACATACATACACACACTCTCTCTCTCTATATATAGACGTGTGTGTCTATGTAGTCCAAATTTGCTATCTTCCTACAGTCTCTTGAGTGCTGGGATTAGAGGTGTGCTCCACCCGGCCCGATTTCGGCCTACTATTTTTTGAATGAATGAATGGACGATTAGCCACATGGGATAATGGCAGTGCGCCTTACCACATTCAAACCGCCCAGACGCGGTCAGTGTGCCCAAGAGTTAGCCATCAGCTTTTCCTCGCTCCCTGCTAGGTCTGACAGTCGCGGGCCTGGTAAGGCCGCACCGGAGGACAGGGGGCTGCCGGCAGGGGGCGCGCTAGGAAAGGCTCGGAACGGCTCTAGGGCCTCTGCCGGAGCCCGATGGCTGGCAGCGCCTCCCGGGGTTGCACAGTCCCTCGAGCTTGGTTGCTCCTCCTGCGGACTACGACAGCTGTTTCCTGCAGGGATCGTTTAGAGAGCCAGATTTAAATTCCCTTCGGCCACCGGACGGTGAGGCTGGGTGGGACCATAGATTGTCATAGCAGCCGAGCGAAACGGCGGGGCGCGAAGCAGCCAATAGCCATCAGGAGGCGGGGTCTCGACGACGTACGTCTCGCCTCGCCCCGCCGTTGGGAGGCAAATAACCAATAGGAGAGCCTGGGCGGGGCGGCGAGCCAATGGCGCGGGCCGGTTTGATTCAAAGGCGCTTATAAAGCGGTCCTGAGAGAAGTCGTCCAAGTAGCGAGTGTGGTCGGGAACCGCGGTCGCCATGGCCTTCCGGCTCGAGGTCCCGGACGAGCTGCCCGCCGCCTGCCTGTCCCCGTGCGGGCCGCCCAACCCCGCCGAGCTGTTCAGCGAGGCCCGGCGCCTGGCGCTGGAGGAGCTGGTGGCGGGCGGCCCCGAGGCCTTTGCGGCGTTCCTGCGGCGCGAGCGCCTGGGCCGCTTTCTGAACCCCGACGAGGTGCGGGATGTGCTGCGCGCGGCCGTGCGGCCGGGCGGGGAGGGCGCGGCGGCGGCGGCGGCGGCCGAGGACTCGTTTGGCTCGTCGCAAGACTGCTCCTCGGGCACCTACTTCCCCGAGCAGTCGGACCTGGAGCCGCCGCCGCTGGAGCTCGGCTGGCCCGCCTTCTACCGGGGCGCGTACCGGGGCGCCACGCGCGTCGAGGCGCACTTCCAGCCCCGCGGCGCGGGCGCCGGCGGCCCCTACGGCTGCAAGGATGCGCTGCGCCAGCAGCTGCGCTCCGCGCGAGAGGTGAGCGCCCCCCGCAACCCGGGCCGGACCGGGCATCGACCCATGGCTGGCGGGGGAAACCGAGGCAGCGGAGAGCGCGGGCCGATCCCCCGCCTCCTCCCCGGGCCGGACGGGGCATCCACTCCTGGCTGGCGGGGGAAACTGAGGGCAGCGGAGAGCGCGGGCCGAGCCTCCCCCCCCCCCCATCTGATCTCTCGGGGTCCTCGGCTCGCTCCTCTTCCTGAGTCTCCGTCAGATCCTGGACACCCCCCCCCCCCGCCGCTCTTTATGGCAGGTGTGGGTGTGCCAAGGATGCCGCTTGTGCCACCGAGTCAACTCCTTTAGTGTTCGTTTGCCTCTGGAGAAGGAACCAGAATTGTTTTCAGTTCCAAGTCTGTTATCAGTTGAAGCCAAATTTTCCTGATCCCACTTTCAGTAGCGGCTTAGGACATGCGTTACTCCACCATCGCCTCGCCTAGGGGGAAAATATCCCTGAAGATAATCCCTTCTTCCAAAAATCTTATGGGACATGGGGGATCAATTACTGCTCATTAGTTACACACTTTTTTTTTTTTCCTTTTCTTTTGCCGGTCCTGGGGCTTGAACTCAGGGTCTGAGCGCTGTCCCTGAGCCTCTTTGTACTCCTGGCTCCACCACTTGAGCCACAGCACCACCTCCAGCTTTTTCTGAGTAGTGTATTGGAGATAGAGAGTCTCACGGAGTTTTCTGCCCTTGACTGGCTTTGAACCGTGATCCTCAGAGCTCGGCTTCCTGAGTAGCTGGGATTACAGACATGAGCCACCAGCGCTCAGCTTAATTCTATACATCTTATGTTCTTGTTAACAGGAATGTTAGAATCTGTCTCTGCCTCTGGCCAGGGACTGAAAGGAAATCGTCGCCTCTTGTTGAATGAGAGGGAACCAGATTTGCTTTCCTATGGGTAGGGGTTGTTCCAGGTAGTGTTTGTTTAAAATACAGATAACCTCTGTATTACATCAGCCTTTATCCACAATAGGCTATGGTCCTAGTGTCTGATGCAGTGTGTGTGTTAGTGGGGGAAGGGGAAATGCAGGGGTATAGCAGTAGACACCATTGTTCATAGCTAAAACCAGCATGATTGCTGGTGGGCTGCAGGCCCATGCTGGTGGGCTGTGCCCCAGCTTTTTGGCTTTCTGAGTGTGCCAGGGAAGTGGCAGGCAAAGTCCCAGGCATGGTAAGACTTGGTAGGCCCTGTGCCAAGTGGTGACTGGAAGGAGAAATCTGTGCATTAAGTTGGTCTGAGACAGCCAGGTCCAGAGGAAAGAACCTGTGTTTTTGATGTTGGCTCCAGACCTGACTGGCGGGGCTGCAGACTCTAACCTGGTGCCTTGCCTTTGGAGTAGCGAGAGTGTGTCATCCCATAGTGCTTTGGGTGGGCTGAGGGCCCTTTGGATGATGCAGACATGCCTGTGTATTCCTTCAGTTAGAACGGTTGGTTACTAAGATGAAAGAGGCAGAATTGTGGGGTAGGTGTGCATTCCCAAAGCTCACCTCCAGGAGGGGAACTTGAGTACTTGGAAAAAAAAGAGGTTTCCATGACAGAGATGGGGACTGCTTTCGCCTTCCACCCAGCCCCAAATTAGAGTGGTAGTGGAGGGGCACTGAAGCTAGATCTAGAAGGAAAACTACAGTATGGTCATGAGCAGGCTTAGAAGGGATGGAGGCTGCCTGGAATGTAGACTCCCCTCATCTGGGGTGATCTGTAATACATTCCTGGATAGAGCTTCCTGCCTTGTAAACAATCCGTGCCTTACTCCTGTGGTTGGCTCTTTTCTCCTAGATTTTGTATTGGAACCTGGGTAGTTTAGCCTGAGAAAGGTGACACCTTAAAATCCAACGAGTATTTTTAATGCATCTACCATATTGCCAAGCTGCTGCTGTGTTCAGTGCCTACTGTGTATCACACAGCTCTCTGAAGAGAAAGCAGTTGGATGGAGTAGAAGAGAGGGGCCATGAGACGAGGGTACAGGAAGCGTGAGTGGGACTGAGGGCTGTGTGTGGCTTGCTTTTGTGCTCCAGACCGTGATAGCCAGGGCAGATAGTGATACTACCAAACTGGAAGGAGGGTAGGCTGAGGGTAAAAGATGTGGGTATGAGTTGGATTTGATTTGGAACATAATTGAATTCAAAGATACAGATGCCATCTCTTTTGTTAAAAAAAATTGCCCAAGTGAAAATTGTTTCCTCTTTGTTAGACAGCATTCTACAGTTATTTTGTCCATTTTATAATGAGACTAGGTTGTCAAGAGATTATGTAGAGAGTGATGGAGCCAGACCTCCACCCAAGGCCGACTTTGGACCACAGCTAGCACCCAGGCTTTCCTTGTGTCCTCTGTGGAGAGAAAGAGCTGGCCCTGTAATTCTGAGACATCCTCAGATGGGTGGGGAGAGGGACTAGAGGGCTAATCTGGTGGCTCTTAGGTGCTGCAACCTGCAAAGCTGTGCATTGTGTTTTGAGTTGTGCATTGTGTGTCACTCTGGCTACATCCTTTGAAGTCATTGCCCGTGACAGCAAGGACCGTGAAGGTGCGCGTCTCAGGTGATGTATTCTGATGGTAAACATGATGACATGCACGAGAGTGCTGTGAAGGAGCCCTTTTCCTGGATTATCTCACTTAATATCCTCCCAATGCTGGGAGGAGGCCACAGTGAAGAAAAGACCCAGCACCCAGAGGTTAAGTAACTTGCCCAAGATCAAACCACATGATCCACTGTTGAGGTCAAGCTCTAGTCAGGTGGATCCCACCCTCTTAATTACCTTCCTTCGCTGAGGAGGAAGTATTGGTAGGTTGGAAGTTTCCAGCAGCAGGCTGAGGGGTTTTTGTTTTTTAACTGGTTTCTTAAGGATTTGGACTTTTCATCTTCATGATATGAATCTATAAACAGGACAATGATGATGACAGAAGACTAGTCTGGTCAGTTTTAAAAGGGGGGAGGCATTAAATAAGCAGAGACCTCAACCCATCAAATAGAGACGGTTGTTCATGACCACAGGGCACTTGAGGTCCCTGGGGTTTAAGTTTTATAAATTAGCATGCAGTTTGCTCTCTTCAGGGAAGGTAGAGCCAGTAAATTGAAGCAGAGGAGTATGTGGAATTGTCTAGTGGATGAATAAGAACTTTGAATTCCACATGGAAGGTCCCACTTAATGATCAGTGAGCTTGGGGCCAGGCTGCATGGGAGCAGGGTCAAACTTAGGAGAGTGCCCTGTGAAACTTTGTCCTCAAAGAGGAGGTGTGGGTTCAGCCTGAATTATCTGGGTGACTCTGGAAGGGCTCCATGACCAACCTGTGGATATGGGAAGCCAAGGGCAGTAGCCAATGGCTACTGACGGGACTGAATCCTGACATTGTAGCCCAAATGCCTGTTTCTGGGATAGATTTTTATCTGCAAGTCCTCTTCCAGGCTAGGTACTCTGTATGGGGCCTATTGTACACCCTCCTCTATCGGGCCTCATACTTTTGGAGGGGCAAGGGATGGAGAAGGGAAAGGTAGGAGTGGAAACTAAGTAGTTTGGGTGACTCTGTCTTTCTACTCAACCATTCTTTATCCCTGAATAATTGTGATGGCTTTTGATCTGCCCTTCCACTGGCTCCATTTCTGTGTGCCTGTCAGGGTGCAGGCATCTGTCACTTGGAGAAAGGTGCCAACTTTATGTGAGGCATGGATTCAAGCTGACCAAGTACCTGGCATTCTGTTGCATTTCACCAGAGCGGCAGGAACTACTGCTTTGGTGTCCCAAGAGGTTTTTGTTTATTTTTAAATTTGTTTTATTTTTTGTTTTTGTGCTGGTACTGAGGTTTGAACTCAGAGAATTGTGCCTGGGTTTTTTGATCAGGGTTAGCATCTTCCCACTTGAACTACAGCTTCACTTTTGGCTTTTTTGGTGGTTTGAGATAAGAATCTACAGACTTTGTCAGGGCAGGCTTTGAATTGTGATCCTCACATCTCAGCTTCTGGAGTAGCTATGGTTATAGTTGTGGATTCCTAGCACAAAAATTTGTTTTTTTTTAAAGGAGTTTTTGAATTATGCAGGATCTCTTTCCTAACACACTTGGTTTCAGAATCTACCCTTTCCTGCTGTAACTGGTGAGGTGTGACTCTGTCACTCAGTCCTTTGGGTCTGTCACTGCCAGTTAGTGCTTAGCTGAGCACTACTTGGGAGTTCTGGCTGGCCTCATTTATTGGTATGATTGATTCTGGTGTGTTTTTCTTGACTTTTTTTCTTTTTGAGGCATCATCTTGCTCTGTTGCCCAGACTGGCCTTGAACTTGCATTCTTCCTGCCTCAGGTTCCCAAGTGCTGGGGTTACAATTATGCATCACTGGTACTTAATTATTCCTGGCTTCTGAATAAGACTTCACACCTAAGTTCATCCTATTAGGAGATTCCCAACTTTTCATAGCTGTCATTCTTACCAGCCGCCATTCCCTGTGTGCCTTTGTTCCAAAGGGTCCCCTTTTGTTGTGACCTCATCTTTGGCCATCCTTTTGATGACCTGAGCATTAGCGATCTTTGCATAGCCGGAGAACCCTGCTTGGCGGACTAGCAGCTGAGGAATCTGATGGAGGCCCCTGTGAGTATGAGGATGTCCTGATGCTGGCTCTACTGTTCTTGCTCAACCTTGTGTTACGATAGAATCTGTGCTGTATCAGTTCCTGTTCCAGATGCCCAGATCATCCCAGAGCTTTCTCAACCTTGCTGCTGTTTTGGCATTTGAGGCTGGATGATTCCTTGTTTTTTTTTTGGGGGGGGGCGGCTTGTCCTGTGTGTTGCAGGATGTTGAGCAGTATCCCCAAGAGACCAGTAACAGCCCCCCCCCCACTCCAATAGTTGTGATGGTCAGCACTGTCTTCAGAGGGACAGCAGGACTTATAGCCTTATGCTCAGTTTCTGTTCCGGATGTTGATTTGGAAATGGTGGCAAGGGTTGTACTTGTCAGCGGGCCCATTTAAGATAGCAAGCTCAGGCTGCATGTTGTA